ATTATCAAGAATGGAAAGGTAAAACATATTCATTAATAGATAGAATTAAAAGAATGTATGAAAATATTAAATATAAATATTCCTATTATGGTAAATTTTATATAAATGGATTAAAATTAATTGTACAAGATACTAAAAAATATTTACATTTAAAAAAAGAAATTAATAATAATAGACCATTTCATTTAGCTAATAGATCTGAAATTTATTTTACAACACAATATTCAATTGAATTATTAAAGGCAATTCCATTTATAGTTTTATTCTTTCCATTTTCAACAATTTATTTTGCTTTAGCTTTTATATTTCCAATTTTATTACCTACTCAATTAGTTTTACCTAGAAAGAAAGTACAAATTTTAAATAATATAAATAGATTAAGAAAAGAACAATCAAATTTAATTATTGATAGATTAATACAATTTACTAATTTAGTAAATAATAGATATATTGTTGTTGATGATGAATTAATGAAAGAATGTAATAGATTTACAAATATTTTACAATCTGTTAAAAATAATAATAATTTAAATTTAAATTTAAATATAAATAATTCTAATAATATTAATTTAAATAATAATTTAAATTTAAATATAAATTTAAATAATAGAAAAGAATTTATTAAACAATTTTTAAAAGAATTAAAAGAATTAGATAATAGTAAATTTGTAGATCAATTTTTAAAATTTAATTTCATGTCAACAATATTATTAGATGATATATGTAGATTTTCCTTAATAGGAAGATCACATTTAGGTGGAATTAGTGGAGCTATAAAAGAAGATAATACATCATCTATATATGGATTAAGAAAATATGATCCAAATATATTACAACAATTATTAATGAATTTATTTGATGTATTAGTATCAGATGAATTTGTACAAGCAATAACACCAAATATAATTAAAATGTATCAATTAAATAGATTTATAAATCAATTAAAACAAGATGATAAATTTATTAAAATGGATAATCAAGTTTCAAATGTTTTAGGTGTTAAAGAAGAAACAAGTTTAAGAGAATGGTTAAAAATTTGTTATATTAGATGTTTAGTACAAGATCCTACTTGTTATAAAAGTGTAAATACTGTTTTAAAATCTATTGATGATTTAATTATGGCAGGTTTGTTTTTTTATTTTTTATTTTAATTTTAATTTAATTATTTATTTTTATTTATTTTAATTATATTTTACTTTTAATTTTAATTTTATTTTAATAATAATA